TCTTCACAAGACAACATCAGTCGTTGAAATGCTGTTCCAAGTGAAATATTGCCCAGGGAAGACAGTGTGATAACGTGATATCAAAGTGCATGTGGTACATCACTGTGAGAGGTCAGTGTGTACACACTTGTCTGTGGATGAATTGCTGTATTACATTTGACATGTATCTCCAGGGGAGAAAATATATGTTCATTCTCTAAGGAATTTTTTGCTGTTTTAGTGCGTATGTTTACCCTCAAGGAATATCATTCTGGTGTTCTGTTACTTTTCCCAAGAACGGTCATTTGCGTCTCCATAGAATGATCTTTTACTTCTTCATGGAATGGTCTTTTACTTCTCCTTGGAATGGTCTTTTACGTCTTTGTGCAATGGTCTTCTGCTTCTTCATGGAATGGTCTTTTACTTATCCTTGGAATGTTTTTTTACTTCTTCATGGAATAGTCTTTTGCTTTTCCATGGAATGATCTTTTACTTCTTCACGGAATGGTCTTTTACTTCTTCATGGAATGGTCTTTTACTTCTTATTGGAATAGTCTTTTACCTCTCCATAGAATGGTCTTTTGCTACTCCATGGAATGGTCTTTTTCCTTCATGGCATTGTCTGTAGTTCTCCCTCAAATGGTCTGTTGATTCTTCATGGAATGGTCTATCACTTTTCTGTCGAATGGTCTATGACTTCTTCATGAGATTATTATTTTTTTGTCAAGATTTATGATGATTTAAGACTTACGACAGTCTTAGTGCTAAGATCGCTTTGTGGAACGGGGCCCAGATAATGAAATGGTTGTAATAAGTGGACCAAAGCCTAGAAAGTCTGATTGCAAGATAAATGCTCCTTCTAGTCAACTTCCAGACAGTTGTAAGCAGAATGTCTGAATGCTTTTAGCTACTCTAAAAAAACTCATATATCTTTTGCACTGTTATAAAGGTAAGACGCATAAAAAATGGCCACCACGGCGATGACAGGCAGGTGTATACATCGTCTAATCTTGCCTTGTCGACAGTGTTAAACAAACTCAGCTAAACACCCCTGACCATTTTGGAAAGCACTGGAATGTTTACATCCAGGTTTGTGGGCCAAGAAACCTACTTCTCAACATGAGTATGGCATCTGGCAGGACTGAACCGATTTTTGTGAGGGGCAACCTTTACAATTGGCAGATTGGGTTAGCAGTATGGAATCTGGACAGCCTGCTTGATGTTGGGTCAAGTTGCTCTACACTGTAGTGGCTTTTGATGGTCCCAGTCAGACTTGGTCTACCTGGCCAACAGTTGGCTTTAGTCACACACCACGGTCAGTTTGGAATGTGGTCAGGGAGGCAAGGCCCTTCTCGTGATGAGGTTGTGTTTTTCTGAGGGGAGAGTTAGTGGGGTGGATGTATGGGAGGCATGCTTTGAAAACAGTGGGATGTTCTTGTGGGGTTGTTTTGAAGCAGGGAGATGTGAATCGTGGCTGAATTATTGTAGACAGATGAAGGGGTTAGGAAGTAGTGACTGGTGTCGAGGAGTTGTAATTGAAGGTGGCGGTATGGATGTTGTAACTCAGAGTTTTAGATGGCCTACGGTCACCAGTCATAGACCGATATAATTTCAATTTGACAGATAGTTGGTTGAAGTAGTCAGACTTTTGACCAATAGAAATTCTAAGCAAGGCATCACTTTTTCCATAATTTCAATTTAATAAAACAATACACAGCCATAAAAAATCATAATCGAAATGCTGAGCAGTTCATGTCTTTGCATCATACTTTCTGTACCATAGGGAAAGGAGCTATAGTGACTTAGTCAACTGCTTTAAAATTTTCTTATGACGTTCATTGGCCAGATCATACATTCATCCAATCATGAATGATTTTGTATGGATTTGCTGTTATGGTTCGTCCATCATTTCGTTTATTTGACTTTTTGACTTTTGCCAGTGACTTACTACTTTTCTTGGGTCTAAGTCATTGACCTATGTACAGCTTTTTATGTCAAAATCACTAACTGTTGGGGTGGATGGGGATTGTAACTTAAAAGGGTGCTGCTAGAGTTTTAAATGAAGCGGGTGAGAAGGAATTGTAACTCAAGTTGGTTCGGTAGAAGTTGGAAAGGGAGGGGTAGGGATGGGGGTTGTAACTGAAAGGGATGGGGAGGATGTTGTCACTGAGGGGTTGGGGAGGATGTTGTCACTGAGAGGGTGGGTTGGGAGCTGTAACTGAAAGGATGTGATAGTTGTTAGTGAACAGGAATACAGTACTGTTGTCCCCATCACCAAGTCTACTGCAACACGTGTCAGGGTCATTCACTGATTGACTTCCAAGTGAGTGGTCTCTATCAAGGGTTCATTACTCGCATCAGCAGCAACACTAATTACCAGTGGGCAAAGATTAGATTGAAGTTGGTAATTATAGATTGTTTTCGCTTAGGGTGACTTCGTTACTGACATTCATTCCATAATGACAATAATGTTCGGACTTTTACAAGGTGAAATATTCTCAACTAATAGTTCCATCCAATTTCCAAACAGGTGAAGTTGATTATATGTGTAGCTTGTATGAACAACAGCAGGAAATAGGTCAGACCAACATTGGAATAAACTGTCTGATCTTCACACCTAACCAGAACTATTTAAGGCAGTCAAAGAATCTTCTGACAAAGTTCTTTGACAAATCCTCTATCTTGTTTTTCTTGTTGAATATTTCAAGCAGCAGACACTGATAGAGTATTCAAAACATCACATAACAATTGCATATCCTCAAACAGCAAACAGGGCACAGATAGTCCTGTCATCTAAGACAGTGCAATCCAGTGGACAGAGATGTGTCAGCAAGGTCAGCAAGAAACCAGTGGTTTGAATCCTGGTTTCGTCCTGACTAAGTATCTAGGTTTGTCGGCACCATACCCATGCTTGTGGGTTTCACCAAACTGGTAAACGTCTAGGACCTGCATGATCTCTGGCTTTCCTCCCACATCAAACTGACCTGCCGGGATATAACTGAAGTACTGAACTCATTCACTCACTCAAATTGTAGATCCGGGGTAGAATAGGTCTTCAGCAACCCATGCTTCCCGTAAAAGGCGACTATGCTTGTCGTAAGCGGCGAATAACGGGATCAGTTGTTCAGGCTAGCTGACTTGGTTGATGCATGTCATCATGTCATGATGTCAATAACTGGATTGTCTGGTCCAGACTTGATTATTCACTGACCGCCGACATACAGATGGAATATTGCTGAGAACAACAAACAAACAAACAAACAACAAAACTAATGCCATGAAAGAGTTGCAAAACATTAGAAAATCAATTTTGGTATCTGTATTTCAGTGTGAGTATTACACTGTGTAATTAAAAACAAATGTATTGCATGAGAAAATTAATACAAGATAGGATTTATTGAAATGGCTATTATATATGGAATTATTTAGAAAGTTGTGCATACTTTATTCCCAGGTGTATTTAACGTATTTAGCCATGAAGCCCCTCTCCATATCATCACTGGAGGGTCTTCATTGTGAACGCACCAGAGCTCCACTCAAGCCGTGCATTACTCACAAGTTTCTTAATGTGTTTCTGATATGGACAACCTGTATCTCATGTACATTGAGGTGTAACAGATTGAATTTCTTTCCCAAAACCTTCAGTCGTAATTCCTGATTTAGGTTAGCTTTTGCCACAAACAGCTGCCAAAATATAACTAAAATGTGCCAAATGTCCTTTGAAAGAGAGATTATCATCAGAATGTTCTCACCTTACTTACTTTGCTGAGTTAGTTGGTGTGAAATTGTTAAGCGTTAATTTCAATGTTGTATATTTCGCATTTGGATACCTGGTCACATGGTTTTACTTTGAAAGAAAGCCAAATATTTAAAGAAGTATGTGTTATTTTTGGCATCATGTTGAAAAATTGAACTCACCTGCTCACACTTTAAGAACAAAAGCTTTCTCGGAGATTCAACCCAGTAGAATATTCAGTTATGAAATACATCTTAACTGTTGGCATGAGGCCCGAAACTTTCCCATGAACTATATATGCATCATATCCATAGTGTTGGTCAGCCAGAAGAGGCTGTGGTCTGCTGTCAGTTTGTTCATTTCGTTGAAAAGAAATGAAAACTATGAAACTATTACCAATGTATTTTGTCTCATTTCTTTTTATGTTTTCATAATATCAAGCTGATATTTGAATTAAACTGTCTCCATATTGTTATTTCATTAAATTTATGAGAATGTATTAATATATTTCCAGCAAGTCACTTGCATTTACCTTATTATAAGTTTGATATATACGTTTTACCATAATTCATTATTTTCATATATTTGGAATATTTTCATGATGTGTATAAAATTCATAAGTTAACAGTTGAATGTTTATTACAATCAACCATTTTTTATGTTTGTATCATTGTATCATATTTATTGTTGACTGCAAGTCATACCTTGATGGCATGGGTTGCTCATAATATCAGTCACTGGTTTGTCTGGTCTTGACTGAATTAATCACAGACTGCCTTCATATAGCTGGAATACTGCTAAGTGTGGTGTTAAACAAACAAACAAACAAAATCAAGTTAGCCTTATTTCAACAGTTCAGCATTATTTCATAACATTACCATATTGTCATTTCTTTATCAAATCTATATACATGTACCGTATTCGACTTAATAAGCGCCGACGGCAATATTTGCTAATATATTGGCTAGTGAACAATCTCAATTAGCACTCCTCCCGATTGATCAATGTACACAAGACTTATTTATTCGCGTATAATACGCACTCGTGTGTAATATACACCCTTAATTATGGGCAGTTAAATTCTGGAAAAATATATCTGTCGTATATAAACAATTCAGGCTGTCAGCATAAACCACGGAATTTATCTTTCATCTCTGTTTTTTTCACCAAAATAATATTCTAACAAGAGCCCCCTATTTTTTATTTTGAGAGCGCCCTGGGCGCTTATTACGTCGAATACGGTATTTGTAATCAAATGAACATTATTGTCCTTAACTCTGATCACATGGTTTGAGCGATGCAGCATGATGGTGATTCTCCTCAACTGTCTGACCCTTGGAATGTACAAGCCCTGCGATGACCAAGTGTGCTCCACCACCAGGTGTCGTGTTCTGGAGGGATTTGACCATTTCATATTCGCATTTTTTGCCGTGGAAATGGTAATCAAAATGATTGCAATGGGTATTTGCGGAAAGGATACCTACCTTGCTGATTCCTGGAACAAGTTGGACTGCTTTATCGTTCTGGCTGGGTAAGGTTTGGTTTTCTATTTTCATTTTTTAGAAACTCATTTCCAAATCTATTTTTCAGGGTTTTTGAAGAGAGTTCATGTCATTAATCATTTTAAGTTAGGCAATAGGATCTATCTTGTATTTCCCTCTGTCTGCTTGTATGTATTGACGCAAATCATCTGATTTTTAGAGGAGCATGAATGAAAACGATAATCATAAAAAATAATTATTTGACGGTATGTGCTCCATAATATTAAAAATCAAGTGAGAATGCAACTGATATGTTGTGAAGATGTGAAGAACTTAATGTTTCATGACAAATTTTATTTGAAATTCTTTTTCTTTAGATAAAAAGTATGACTTTGTGTAATTACTGAAGACCTGGCATGTACATAGTTATACTTGACCAAAGATGATAATTGCATGGAGAGAAGGCATTAAGAGCTTCACATCTTTGAAAACTCATGTCAAACTCATTTAGTTATCCTTAGAAAGACAAATTTAAGTATTATTAAAATTGTAAAGAAATTCGAAATGTTTAATTACATTTAGAACATATACTATTAAAAAAAGTTAATGATCACCTGATTCTTTCATATCACTATGGAAAATTTTTTCCACCATGACGGATTAGGTATAGTATTATGAAAAAAATCGAGGGATCCTTAACTTCTTTTGAGTAGCATAATTGATTATCAATGAATCATATCAGTATGGTGGGATGTGAAATGAAAAAAAAAAGCTATTTTCATTGTCCTACTAGTTTTCAAGATTACAAAATGGTTTTGAAACTTAAGATTGTGGAATTTTGTGAATATGATTGACATGAGTTATGGATCCCATGTTATATATGTGAATTAGATGTCTTTGACTTTGTAACTGCCATTACTTTCAGCTTCTTGCATGTTCGTTCCCAGTGCTATTGCATGCCAGCCACGTCATCGGCAGTGGTTGAAATTAATCACTGTAATCAATGTCTCGTCAATTGTCAGTCTGTCAGTATCTTGAAATTTAGAATTAGACCTGTCTGATTTTGACTCAGTTTCATATTGTATTGAGTTTGGTGAAAGTTTAATTGTCAATAGAGTCCACAGTTGTCATCTGGTCCCATTCCATGAAGCAATCTTAGTGCTAAGATGATTGTAACTCCCGTATTCAAACACTGACCTACGACAGTCTTAGCGCTAAGATCGCTTTTTGGAACGGGCCCCTGGTATTGAAATATTTGTGAATTATTTGTATTTATCTGGAAATCTTTATCAGATCATTTCAGAGAATGAATGGCGTAATAGTGTATGTATCATTTTCATTTCTGAACAAACTGTCCTTGCTTAGGTTAATTCATATGACATCTCCACGTATTAATTCCTGTTTGAGTGAAACACATCAAGCATGATGAGACACAGCACTTAACATCAATTTGAAATTTGATTGATATATTGTTGTTGTAAATATGTTTCATTCACAAATACATTTGAAAAACACAAGAAAAGGAAAACACGTTTTTTTCAGTCAACATTTTGATATTCATAAGACTGCACACTTTCATCTAAAGTAAATTCACAATCAAGCATGCATTATTTTCAAATATCACAATTTCATATAGATGTGAATTCTTTATAGTACACATCACCATTGTTTCATAAAAAGAATTTGATTCACATTCAAATGTGTAATATTATACCAGTAGAATATAAATTTTATGACATATTTTTATCAAAACTATTGTACAATTTGTACTTAGAGATTTATGGGAAATGATCTCGAGGAACTGATGTTTGCATGTTTTATGAATGTGAAGATATGAAATATGAATATGAAAATCTTTTTATGAGAGACTGATATGTACTGACATTCTGACATTATATGTGGTACTTTGTTATAACAATTTCAACTGCATGAGAATCATTGACTCTTCAGACTACTGAAGGCCTATAACAGACTGTACCGTTGTTGTTATAATAAGGTGTTTACCATGAAGCACTTGCATGTTCTCCAACAGGTGGAGAAGGATCTAGGATATAGCAACAGCAAATGCAGTGTTCATGTTGCGTCTGTCCACATTTTACGTTGCAATGCATGTGTCTTCATTTTTCAGATGTATGTGTCAAGATCAACTGTTTCTTCTCCATTGCTATATGCCCCAACCTATCTTAGTCAGAGGTGCATGAATTTGGTTTGCCAAGTGAGATAAGGAAATTAAATTGTGTTCAAATTTCAGGAATCAGGCATTCAGCTTCGTAAGGAATCTACACTAATAACTGAGGGAAGGAAATGATCATTTGAATCGTTGAATATTCAGTTGCAAGAGTTCAGAAAATCCCTGCAGTGTTTAATTTAGTGATTTGGGTACTAAATATTTCAGCCATATGTTGATTGTTGTTTAAATATGAAGAGAGGAAATTGCTTTCTCATAAATGAATTATAGATCAAGAGAATTCAACCTCTTTCATGCAACGCAAAATATGTTGAAGTGAAAATAGGATACTGAAAGATCAAGAAATTCAACAGTGAAAATTACCCCAAAATTAGGTTAGCGTGATGTCTTCATATGCTTGGGGCTTTATATGTTCACGGTTAGAATGTTTATTGTCTTCATGTTGAGGGTCAAAGACGTCCCTACATTGTTTCCCAAAGCCTCGTCTCCTTATGAATCTCCATCCTTATCATTTGTATGAAGTATGTTTCTAATTTCTCTTTATCTGTGACCAAACTAAACTCCATTTCCAAATGTCCATGCTCCAACTCTCATATTGAAATGTCTATTCTGAGTGTTTATGTCCGTGACCAACCTTTCATGTCCCTATGTCCATGAACCATTTTTATGTTTCATGTTAATGTCCCTATGCCAATAAATAAATAAGTAAATGTTCCAAAATGTCCCTAAATGTCCCAATTTTCCTGTCCTTATATATCCATGTCCCAATCCTCATTTCCATTATGGCTTTGTCCAAGTTTTCATGCCCCTGTGTCCATGATCCATAGTTATGTTAATGATCCAGTTTTATGTTTCTATGTCCATTTCCCTATGCCAATGGTGTCCATAAGTGCCCCATGTGTCATGTCCCTATATCCATGTCCCAATCCTCATTTACATGATGGCCGTGACCAAGTTTTCATGTCCCTATGCCCTTGACCAAGTTTTCATGTCCCTATGCCCTTGACCAAGTTTTCATGTCCCTATGCCCTTGACCAAGTTTTCATGTCCCTATGCCCTTGACCAAGTTTTCATGTCCCTATGCACTTGACCAAGTTTTTATGACACTGCATGTTCCAAAGCTTTTATATCTGTGGCCACATTTCAGCATGGTCCCTGTGGCTATTGTGGAGCTGATTGACTCTGTGATATTTCAGTTTTATGATAAGATCCCAAATTTCACCTATCTTGCTATTTTTTTAAAGACACTTTGCTTTCATTTTCCTCCACAGGTAAGTGATATGGATGATTTTAGTTGCATCATGTGCAAATCAAGAGTTTACTGAAATATATTTACAAATATATTTTTTTTCATGGTTTTGTTGAGGGGAATCATGTTGTGAGATTTTCCTAGCCAAGGTTTGTATACGTATATTGTCAGATAAAGAATCGGTATTTCTCATAATGGGAATGTTCAAACACACTCAGTTGTACAGAGAAGTCGTGTAGGTAACATTTATAAACAAAATGTTTTTCGTGCAACTTCGTATTAAGTTTTTGAATGCCCATTAATGATTAATATACAAATGATACTGACAGCCACCCACAAGCAACTCTACCAAAAAGTTAAAACATTCTATGTAAAAAGAAAGGCAGGAAAAGCAGATTGCTGAAATTAAATTCAAATTTGAAAATTTCAGAAATGTACTTCGCAACAAGGATGTTTTTGATAACTCAATTACAGTGATTCAAAGTAATCAAGAAAACTAATTACTTAATAAAAACTACAAGAGTTTTTATTCATAGTTTAAGTTAATCATTACACAAGTGTCAATAGCAAAAGAAGATAGACAAAAGTTCATTATTGAGTCAGTGTCCTTCAGATGGACATTGTAGAGACTGAGTGCTTCAGATAAAAAGATGTCTTAAAGAGTCTCATCCTTTGACAAGAAAATGTTATTATTTCAAAAGGGTAGGATGATTTAAGAGTGAACACACTTACCATAAGCTCAACAAATATGATCAGCTGACAAGAAAGTAGTACATTTCTGAGTAGCAAAGTAGTAATGAATGGCAATGTTGGATAATTAACTTGTTCAGAATATCACGACTTGTTCATTTCCTGAAGTATCTGTCCCCATCTCAGAGGAACATTTGAACTAACTGTGTTGAAAGGTTTTATGTGTGAAGGTAATAGCTGCTCTCTCCTTGAGCTCATCCAAGGGGGTGGAAAGTTTGAACCTATTCTTGAAGGTGTAAGGAGGTTGAATGTCAAATAGGTTCAATTTGAGACCCTGAAACGTTGAAAAATACACTGGGATAAAATGCATTTGGTGACTTTCACCAAGAGCTGCAGCTAAGTGTAGCATTGTTAGAGAGATGCTCTTCAACTTATTAACCATAGCACCCTTTCATGACATTTTAAAGTGCTTTCATCCATTGCAATGGACTTTGAATCATCAGCATAACCAGAACCGGAATAAAATATAAGTGGAATGCTAGATATACATACAGTCCCAAATCTGCAACTTTGAACTGATTTGAATAAGACTACGTAGGTTATGCAAACTTTTCTTACTAATGGTAACACTTACTCAAAACAACTATCAAAATAATTATTAATTTGACATTGACATCATTATAGTTAAAATTGGTTCATGTTTAGTGTTATAATGCCAGTCCAATTTCAATCCTACAAGGTACCGATGCTATAAATGGAGGACTAAGGTTCAACCTAAGGAACAATATGACAGCTGAATATAAATCATTGACCTCTCAGAAGAAAGGAATTTGTGATTTGATTTAACGTCAATATTATCAAATATGAAATATGACTGATAGGCAATGAAAGAGATAATTACAGTAGGAAAAACTGCTTTTTTA